GGCAGCTCCTGTTCACTGCGACAGGACCCAGTACACACAGAGAAAACTCCAGAAGAGCCGCACCCCCCGCCCCAGTTCCCAGTATAACCAGAAACTCTTCGGGGGAGACATGGAGAAGTTTATCCAGGTACTTGCCTTTCCCTTCAACCGAGTGCAGGCCCCTCCCTGCTTCGGCCGTGCCTCCAGCCCTGGAGCCCCTGTGGGCCCAAACGAGTTACCAAGAGCTGAGGACTTACCAGGAGCATGGGTACCCGCAAGCCCCACTTCTGGGATGCTCACTAGGGAGGGAAGCCAGGAAAGCACCAGAGATCAGAAAAGAACACTATTGTTTGCAGTGATGTGATTCAGTCTCTCACCGTTCAGAAGAGTCAGCAGGTTATTTAAGTGAACAAACCCAAGGTTCATGATGTTGTTTGATTCGAGGTCAGCAGAGAGAGTTGGGTGGCATTTCCACTCTGTAGCAGGAAACAGATAAAATGTCAGGCATGGCACCAGGGATCAGAAACCCGCCCCCCACAACCGGGCATACATCTCCCTGGCCTTGTTGGTGACCATGGAATGCATTAAGACAAAATGAAAATGAGCGAGTGACAAGGTGGGCTGTGTCATACCCACTGTGGAGGGCACTCTCTCTGTCCTTGTCCGCAGAGTTCAGGCCAGCCTGTGCCCCTGGTGGTGGAGAGCTGTGTCCGCTTCATTAACCTCAATGGTGAGTGAGATCTGGACCCTCCTGCCCCTGGCCTGCCCCCCGACCAAGATTGGAGGGGCGGGGGCAGGAAGGAGGCTTGGTGCACACCAGTTTTCCGTCCTCCCACAGGCCTGCAGCATGAGGGCATCTTCCGGGTGTCAGGTGCCCAGCCCCGGATCTCGGAGATCCGTGATGCTTTTGAGAGAGGTGGGGATGGGCGAGGTTGGGCGGGGGGTGGGGGGGCTGGGAGAGCCGGTGTCATGAGCCTTGCTCCTCGCCACCTCCCAGGAGAGGACCCGCTGGTGGAGGGCTGCACCGCCCATGACCTGGACTCGGTGGCAGGTGTGCTGAAACTTTACTTCCGGAGCTTGCAGCCCCCCATATTCCCGCCAGACCTGTTTGGAGAGCTGCTGGCTTCTGCGGGTGAGCCAGGGGCCTGGGGGTGGGGTGGGGGTGGGGGGCTCCTTACTCCCTAGTGGCCACCTTGCCCGGGCTCATGGCTTCTCCCTGGGGTGATGGCCTTGTTTGCAGAGCTGGAGGCTGTGGCCGAGCGGGTGGAGCATATAGCCAGCCTCCTGTCCCAGCTGCCCGGACCCGTGCTGGTGGTCTTGCGGTACCTCTTCACCTTCCTCAACCAGTGAGTGCTTCTGGGGGCTGGGGGGAGAGCTCAGGGGCAGCCCAGGTCAGGGCGTGGGGATGCCGAGCCAGGAGCTCCGTGCCTGTGACCTGCCTGTATCCCCAGCCTGGCCCAGTACAGCGACGAGAACATGATGGACCCCTACAACCTGGCCGTTTGCTTCGGGCCGACGCTGCTGCCCGTCCCTGCTGGGCAGGACCCGGTGGCTTTGCAGGGCCGTGTCAACCAGCTGGTGCAGACCCTCATCATCCAGCCTGTACGGGTCTTCCCGGCCCCAGCCCAGCTGCCCGGCCCCATCTATGAGAAGTGCATGGCCCCACCTTCTGCCAGCTGCTTGGGGTAGGCTCTTGGCGCCACCAGGAGAGAGAGGCTGGCCGCAGGGGGCACCCTGAGGATGCTCATTTACCTTGCTCTTCTCTGGACTACAGGGATGCCCAGCTGGAGGGCCCGACGGGGGACAATGAGTTGGAGCTGGAGCCAGGGACCTCAGCCCAGGAGGAGGGTGAGGGTGGGGAAGGACAGCCCCACCGGGTCCCTGGCCAGGGCGTCCACGCCACCCCCACCCCACCTCACTTGCATCTCCTCTCCTCCCAGACCTGGAGGGTGTCGTGGAGGCCGTGGCTTGCTTTGCCTACACGGGCCGCACGGCCCAGGAGCTGACCTTCCAGCGTGGGGACGTCTTGCGGTTACACGAGCGGGCCTCGGGCGACTGGTGGCGGGGCGAGCACGCGGGGGCACGGGGGCTCATCCCCCACAAGTATATCACTCTACCTGTGGGGTGAGTTTGGAGGCTCTCCTTCTAGCCCCCCCTCCACCCCCGGGGTTCCAATCCTCCAATCCTTCCCGCACACAGAGTCCCAGGTCCCGTGGTCCCAGGCTGTGCCTTGCTGACTGCTGGCCTGCACCGTGCCTTCTGCCCTGCAGACCCCAAACCCAGAGTGAGCATTCCAAGTATCTTGTCTTTCCATCCCCAGAGTGGAGAAGCTCACAGTGGGTCAGGGGCTGCTGCCCGGCGGGGACCTGCTGAGCAGCTCAGAGGGGCTCCCCGTGGTGGAGCTTGTCCAGAGGTGAGCAGGAGCGGGGAAGACCCCTTCTGGGCCTTGCTCGCCCACCCCAGGCTGGAGGCAGAGTGGCCAGGGACCAGCCTTGCTGTTTCTTTCCCTTTCCTGTGCCCCAGGCTGGGAGAAACCCCTGCCCTGGAGCGTGGGGCCTCCCCAGGGCCCCCTCTAGGCTCCCTGTCTGTGCCCTGCAGGCCAGAGCCGTGCACCCCACCCGAGATCCCTCTTGGCATCCCCGGGGGTCACTCCGGGCACCGACGGCCCTGCATGGTCCCAGCATCCCCGGAACGACATGTGGAGGTGGATAAGGTGAGCGCTGGGAGTGGTCACGTGGCAAGAGGGGTGCACCTGCCCAGGTGTGGGTTCTCTGCTTCTCCTTATGAGCCACTCTTCCCGCCTGAGGTTCAAGTCTGACCTTCCTGATCGCAGGCACACTGGCTGAGCCCAGCCTAGAGAGGGGCAGGCTGGTAAGGGGGTGAGCTTGGTGGGGAGGGACCGGCCTGGAGGCAAGGTAGTGGGAGACCTGGGGGAGGGCAGTCACACATTTAGGCCTCACGTTTGGTTCCTGAGTGGGAAACAGCACACAGGACAGGCTTTAAGGCTGGCATCTAGAGCCAGGCTAGGTGACAGGTGGTAACATGGCAGGCGCTTTGTGAGCCGAAGATGAAAGGGGCAGATGGAAAAGCAGCTGAGTGAGGTGGTGAACTGGGGAGCCTGGTGGGGTCATGGTTCTTAGAGGGGGACAGAGAGCGGGTGCCAGATGGGGCCCTGGTGTGGGGTGCAGCCTGGGGAGACACCCAGCTGCCTTCTGTGCCCACTGGCCCCAGCACACCCCTCCGTGGGATCCTGGTGGGCACTGCCAGAAGCCGTGGGAGACAATGTGAGCCTGGGGACAGAGAGTAAGAGAGCCCGCTGTGTCCCAGGTGTGGCCTGGTGACTGGGCCTGGGCACCAGGGACAGAGGGGTGATCAGGGACACACATGTGAGGTGGCCAGGGGAGTATGGGCCAGGGGTGGGGGGCAGGGCGTCCATGAGACCCCAGGGCAAGTGGGTGGTAGGTAGGGCCAGGCGGGCTGTGGGGGGGCCCTGGCCTGGGAGGTCGGGACCTGCTGGGGACCCCTCAAGCCAGGGGGTGGTGGCTGTGATCTCTGCCAGGGAGAGAGTGGGGAGAGGATGAGTACCCAGGGCCCAGCCCGAGGGGCTCCCATTTGAAGGCTGAGCTAATCACCACAGTCCACAGAGGCAGTGGCTGAGGACTTTGTTTCAGGGGGCAGAGAAGTTCAGAGGGTCAGAGGGCCTGACTCCTGAGTAGGTCACTGTTTTGGGGGCAGGGGACCGGCTGGGCAGGTGGGGCCCACTTGTGCCAACATCTTGCCTTTCTCTCCTCTCCGCCAGGCTGTGGCACAGACCATGGACTCTGTGTTTAAGGAGCTCTTGGGGAAGACCGCCCTCCGTCAGGGCCTTGGACCAGGCACCAACAACTCCCCGAGCCCTGGGCCTCGCAGCCCGAAGCCTCCAGGCTGTGGGCGCCTGGGCAAGAACAAAGGCTTCTCGCGGGGCCCTGGTGCCCCGGCCTCACCCTCGACCTCCCATCCCCAGGGCCTGGACTCACTCTTCAAGTCACACTGAAGGCCCACCTCATCCTCTGCAGGCCCTGCCCCATCCCAGGGCAAGACTGGCTGGGTGCCCCCAACCCTTTGCTTCTCCCTGGCCCTGTCCAGCATACCTGCTCGAGACCCTCTGCAGAGAGGAGGAAATGGCCTCTCCAGCTCCCCCATGCCTTCCCCGCTCTGGTTTGGGCCCCTCTGGGAGGCCACCGCCGAGGGAGGCAGGGGGCAGGTCCCTCCTGGCACTGGATGTGAGGGCTCGTGGCTGGTTGTCACCCTTGACAGCCAGCAGGTGGCGGGTGCCTTTGCTCAGCTGAGGGCGCCAGCCTGGTGGGGGTTGACAGGCATTGACTCCCAGATGCAAGCCAGTTCTCTGGCTGGCTGTGGGGGTGGTGGTTGGAAGGTGGGTACAGGGCCAGCCTCTTGGCACCCCCAGCACTTGAGGCCAGGGTGCCCAGCTTCTGGGGCTACTTGGCACAGGGCTTTGTGGTTTGGGGACCTGCAACCTTGGAAGTCCCGTCTCCTATGTGGTAGGTTCCAGAGCCTTGCACGCGTCTGTGGTTGTGGGAGGGGCCTAAAAATCTCTCTGCACTTACCCCACATTTAATGCAATTAAACATGCATGAATTTTTTAAATACCATCCTTGTAGAGAAGGGGAACAAAAAGAAGCAAATATAGAAAAATATGGGAAATCTATTGAAAATGTGTTCATTTCTCCGGTACCCCAGTATTCAAAGAGACTCACCAGGTGGAAAATGAGCCGGAATTTTTATGAGGGCAAGGTCAGAGGGAGGGCCAAGGGGGACAAGACAGGAAGGGCAAGGATGGCCCCTGGCCCAACCTCCTTTTTCTGCCCCCTGGGCCCTCGGGACCTCTACTGGCCAGCCGCATGTCTTGGCCAGGCTCCTGCGGAGCCAGTTTGTAGGTGGTCAGCTGAGTTCCGTGGAGCCTCTAGAAGGAGAGCAGCTCCATGCCCCGCCCCCCCCGCCCCCGCTGCTTCCCTGATTTCTCAGGAGGGGTTGTCCTTGGCCAGGAAAGAGCTGGCTGTGACGCATGACTCCTCTTGGGGCCCCGGGCTGGGCGGGGCACACCTCCAGGTGCAACAGAGCAGGCTTCGCAGCTCGGAGGAGACGCTGCTGCTAAAGGAGGCGTAGATCCAGGGGTTGGTACAGCTGTTGAGGCTGGCCAGCAGCATGAGCAACACGAAGGGCGGCCCTGTGTGGGGTGGGAATCAGGGCTGGGGCTGAGGGGTCCTCAAGGTCAGTGCACCCAGGCTCAGAGGCTGAGCTGGCTGGGTTGTGGGGGTGGAGAGGGGTGAAGGTGCATGTGCACCAAGATTGGGTGGCCCCCTGCAGCCCCAGCCACCGCCACTCACCTTCCCGTGGTGCCTCCGGGTCCCACGCGGCCCACAGCTGCACAAGGAAGAAGGGCGCCCAGCACAGCACATACACTATGACGATCACCAGAGTCATCCTCACAGTCTTGGCCACAGCTGCCGACACCCGGGCTCCCTCGGCAGGGCCGCCCGGCCGGCACCCTCGGTGGGGCCCGCTGGCCCTTGGCGCAGGCCCCGGCCCCAGGCTGGCGTGAATCTCCCGGAAGATGAGCACCTGACAGGCAGCGATACCCAGGGCAGGTGCCACAAACACCATCAGGGCGATCCAGGTGACATAGGCGCGGAGGCCCCAGGGCTCGGCAAAGCGGGCCCAGCAGTCGAGGACCCCGCTGCCATCCACGTCACGCTGGGCAAAGATGAAGAGCTGGGGCAGGCTGAGGAGCAGCGAGAAGGCCCAGGCCAGCAGCACCGGCCGGTTCCAGTGAGTGCCACCCCCGTGGCGGTGTGCCAACATGGGGCGGCAGATGGCGCGGTGGCGGTCCAGCGTCATGGCCAGGATCATGTAGGAGGAGGCATACATGCCCACCATCTGCAGGTACTTGACTGCCCGGCACAGGGCATCAGGCCCACGGAAGCGGTCAGTGGCGTCCCAGGCCAGCTGGGGCAGCACTTGGAACAGAGCTACGGCCAGGTCGGCCAGGCACAGGTGGCCGATGAAGACGTGCATGGGTGCCCAGCGGCCCCGCCGGCCCCGCCGCACCAGGGCCCCCAAAACCAGGCCGTTGCTCAGGGCCACAGCCACAAAGACGGTGGAGAGCAGTGCCAGCTCTGCCTGGGCTAGCAACGGGTCCCGGGCAGTCCACAGCTCCCCTTTGCTGCCGTTGCCTGCTGCGGTAGGCTGAGAGAGGTGCCGGGGCACAGCTGGGCAGAAGTGGGGACAGAGGGCCAAGTCAGTGAGTCTATTCTGCCCAGGCACTGGGCCGCTGTCACCCTGGGCCCTCTGTTTCTCTCCAGCCTCCTCTTTCCTGGCTCCTGGCCTTCCAGCACAACACACATCGTCCAACCCGCCCCTCCCCACCTGCGTCTCAAACCGCATGTGGTGGGGAGGAAAGGGCAGCCTCAGACCCCGTTGAACCAGAGGGCTGGCTCTTTCCAGTGAGGGAGGTGGGCTGAATGGGGGGAGCCCAGGGACAGGAAGCTTACCTGAGGTGGTGGATGCCAAGAACATAGCGGGGCAGGCAGGAGTCCTGAGAGCCTGGGCGAGATGAGGTTGTGAGCTCAGCCTCCCACCCAAGGGGCCAGCCGTGCTGCCCAGAGTCTCTGGATAGGGGTCCTTAGAGCCTTGGCCGGGGTGGTGGGGTGGGGGTCTCTCCTGTGCGTGCAACTCTGTGTGTGTGTCTGTGAGAGTGTGTGTGTGACTCGTGTGTGTGTGACTCTGTGTATGTGTGTGTGTTCATTCCCATGGCCAGGCCCTGGGGGGTACATCTTAGCTTAATCAACGTTGGTGAAGTCTGGCCTCTGAGGCAGACACGGACCTTGGCGCCCAGGACCGGACAGGGGAAGATGGCACCAGGGGTCGTCAGACAGATGGACGAACCCAGTCTAAGACCCACCCATGAGAAGTGAGGCAGACATACAGATGCCCCCACCCCCCACCCTGACAGAGGCCCAGAGAGGGAACCGTTGGAGGCCTGGGGGCAGGGTGCGAGGGCTACTATGTCCCCCTTACCTGGCCGGACTCCCGGGCTCCTGGGCAGCTGGGTGGCAGCAGGCGTAAAGGTGGCCCCAGAGCTCAGATCCGCTTTCCATGGGCAGCCCCGCCCCAGCCAGTCCTCTGGGAGTGACCAGCTCAGGAAGGGACTTCCTCCCCGCCTCCACGAGCCTCCCTGCCTCTGGTACCGGGAAGTAGGCTCCTGGCCTTCTCTGCTTCCCTTCCCGGCCTGCCCAAGCCATCCCAGGTCCGTCCCCGGGGCCCCAGGCTGCCCCTGAAAAGACCCGAGCCCTCCTGAGCTGGGCCTGGCTACCCCCCAATGCTCCCCACATATACCACCTTATGACAATGTCGGGTCTGCGGAGCTCTGGGCCATCCCCGAGTTCACAGTGTCTTATTTTCAAAGTGGGGCAGCTGTGCCCAGAGATGCACTGGCTCAGCGCCACACAGCTTTCTCCTGGCAAAGCCTGACTCCCCTTCGCCGGGACAGGCTCCCCTGGCCCCTCTCCGGGCCTGGGCAAAGCGCCCGAGGCCCCTACTAGGCAGAGGGAGGGCTTGTCCCCAGCCGGTCAAGGCCCCTCCCATCCTCAATTAGGCCTCCTGGAGATGAGGGCCGGAGATGAGGTCCTGCCAGCTCCCTCCCCTGAGGCTCTGTGGGAGCCTGGACACCCCGCCCCCCCTCACAGTTACCTGTCCATCTCTGTACCCCACATCCCGTCTCCCCCTCCTTGTGCTTCCTCAGCCTCCAGGACTCCCTCCCCTCCAGCTCATCACTTCCCCCCCTCGCCAACCCTCTCTTGCCACCGGCCCAGCCTCCCTCAGTCCAGGCCGGCCCAGCCCAGCCCAGCCCACCCCCAGGCCACGGCCTGTGCACTGCACAGAGCCTGGCTCCAGGCTGACGTTGGCCCTGTCTTCCTGTTTGTCCGTCTTCCCTGTTGATCTGCGAGGTTAGAGACCAAAACGGCCTCTCCCAGAACAGGCTTGGGTACAGCCCAGGTCAGGCCTCCTCCTCCTAGCCGGACTCTGGCAGCACCAGTATGGGGACATTAGGACAGGGGTCTATCCGACCTTATGCACCACACATAGCACACAGCATGCACATGTACACATCACACATAGCACACACCATATGCCACACACACCACACATGCACACACCACACACACCCCCACACACCACACACACCCCCACACACCCACACACACCACACAGCATGCACACACACACACACCACACAAACCACACCCACACAATCTTTCCCAGCATCAGGCTCTTTTCCGATGAGTTGACTCTCTGCATCAGGTGGCCAAAGTATTGGAGCTTCAGTATCAGTCCTTCCAATGAATATTCAGAACTGATTTCCTTTAGGATTGACTGATTGGATCGTCTTGCAATCCAGGGGACTAGCAAGAGTCTTCCCCAACACCACAGTTCAGAAGGATCCATTCTTCAGCACTCAGCTTTTTTTATGGTCCAACTCTCACTTCCATATTTGACAACTGGAAAAACCATAGCTTTGGCTAGATGCACCTTTGCTGGTAAAGTGATGCTGCTTTTTAATATGCTGTCTAGGTTGGTCATAGCTTTTCTTCCAAGGTGCAAGCATCTTTTCATTTCATGGCTGCAGTCACCATCTGCAGTGATTTTGGAGCCCAGCAGGAATGGAGACAAAAGTCATTTCTCAGGCCTTTGGGAAGACCCTGGAAGGCTATTTTAGGCATGAGCAAGAAAGAGGAGCCAGCCCAGGACACAAGGAAAGAGTGACAAAAAGCCTGGAGAAAAACCAGGGGAGCAGAGGTTCCCGAGGTTGGGAGGGGAGACAGGTACTGTGAGGGAAGGAAAGACAGGAGCCAAGCCGAGGGGAGGCCATACCTCGGGTCAACTGGAAAAAATGTACACCTGAAAAGTGAAGTATGTTTTATTCAGCAGACTTTTGGAGGACTGCATCCCGGGGGACCAGCCTCTCGGAAAGCTCTGAGGGACGGTCCCCAACAGGTAAGGGAGGAGCCAGGATGTATGGGAGTTTTTGCAACTAAAACCAGGTCATGGGAACATCCAAAGATTAGCACTGGCTAAAGAAAGCTAGACAACTTAAGTGACTGCATCAAGTACTTTTCTGTGTGTGGTAAGATGCAGGGGTGCAGGTGACATTCTTTGTCCACACCAGACATGGAGAGAGAGCCCGTAACTGGGCATCCCTCCAGGGGCAGGCATTGCAGCCCGCAGCTCCTGCCTGCCGTGGGAGGCGAGTGAACCGGTATGACAGGGACAAAGCAGGGCCTGGAGGCAGGCTGAGGACACAGATACCCTGAATCCAAACATGCGCATGTGCTTTTGGGCAAGTGTGTGCTGAGACAATGGAAAGACAGGGTGACCACTCGCCTGAGGTCTGAATGAAAGTGATCAGGGATTTTGAAAGCAAGACAAGCCCTGTACGTTGGGGGAGGCCAGGCAATAGAATTTGATGGCTTAGGAGCCCTGTAGCCTCTGAGCTCTCTCCAGGTCCTGGATGAGTTTTCAAACATTAAGTCATGAGGGCTTCCCTGGTGGCTCAGGGGTAAAGAATCCACCTGCCCATGAAGGAGACATGTGTTCCATCCCTGATCCGGGAAGATCCCACATGCCTCAGAGCACTTAAGACTGTGTACCACAACTAGTGATCCCATGTTCTAGAACCCATGCTCTGCAACAAGAGAAGCCACCACGATGAGAAGCCTGTACACCCCAACTAGAGAAAAGCCCGTGCAGCAATGAAGACCCAGCACAGCTATAAATACAGAAATAAATGCATAGTTTTAAAAAATTCATTAAATAATCATTTCAGTCTCACCTCTGCTGGTGGGATCTTAGTTCCCTGACTAGGGATTGAACCCGCACCCTCAACACTGAAAGCACCGAGTCCTACCCACTTGATGGCCAGGGAATTCCCCAGGAATGACTGTGTAAAATCAGCTCTATTGAGGGATGATTAGCATACAGTAAAATTCACGACTTGTTTCACAAGATCTGACACAATACAGTTGTGTAAGTGAAAGTGAAAGTTGCTCATTCGCTTCTGACTCTTTGCAACCCCATGAACTCGTCCATGGAATTCTCCAGGCCAGAATACTGGAGTGGGTAGCCTTTCCTTTCTCCAGGGGATCTTCCAAACCCAGGGATCGAACCCAGGTCTCCCACATTGTGGGCAGATTCTTTACCAGCTGAGCCATAGGGGAAGTCCAATACAGTCGTGTAAGCACCATTACAATTATGATACAGAACTGTTGCATCACTGCAGAAATCTTCCTCATGGCTATTTGTGGTCTCCTTCCCCTACCCAGAGCCTGGCATTTTCCTATCCCTATAACTGTGTCTTCCCTAGAACTGTGTACACATAGAATCCAAGCATGTGCAATATTTCATGTCTGGCTTTTCTCACTCAACAAGATGCCTTTGAGTTCATCTCTATGGCTGTTTGTATCAAGACTTTGTTCGTCCTTCTTGCTAAGAAGCATTCTGTTGTCCAGATGGATCCCAGGCAGCTTCTTCCATTAGCGGTGGATGGACAGGTAGGTTGCTTCCGGTTCGGGGCTTTCATGAACGAGGCGACTCTGAGCCCCCGGGGGGCCAGCATTTCCAGGCTTTAGCTTCTCTAGTGGGCACCTTGGCCCTGGGACAGCCAGCCCCTGTGATAAGTAGGTTTCATTCCGTAAGAAACCAGCAGGTTGTTTTCCACACGCCTCGGATAGCTTTGCATTCCCACAAGCACAGTTCCATTTGCTCTGCATCTTCACCAGCCCTTGCTATGATTGGTCTGTCATTTTTCTTGAGCCTCTTTGAATTTTCACCATTTCAGTGGTATTTTCTTCAGGTTTTATTTTGCATTCCTTTTGACTGATGATGGTGAGAATCTTTTCATATACTTACTTGCCAGTTGTCTATATTCTTTGGTGAGGAATATACAATATACAATTCTTTGGTCCAGCAGAAAGGTTTTGCAAATAGTTTCTCCCGCCCTGTGGCAAATGGTTTTCTGAGTTTGACAAAGTCTAATTTTATATATTTTTTCTATTATGGTTTGTGTTTTTTGTGTCCTCTCCAAAAAGTCTTTGAGTAATTCACTGTTGCAGAGATATTCTCCTATAATTTCTTCTAGGAGAAGAAATTATATATTTCTATATTGTATATTTCTAGCTCCTACAGTTAGCTCTATGATTCATTTCAAGTTAAATCTTGTGCATAGTATGAGGTAAAAGTCTGGGTTCCTTGTTTTCTGTGTGGATACTAATTTGTGCTAGAAGCAGTGGTTCTGAAGACTGTTCTTTTCGTCTTGAATTATCTTGCACCTTTCCTGAAAATTGATCGTATGTGTGTAGGTCTTATTTTTTCTGGGCTTGCAGTTCTGTTCCTTTGATTTCTATGCCTATCCTTATGCCTTATACCAAGGCTGGATACACTGCCTATTTTTTAGAAAAAAAATTATGTATGTCTTTGTTTACTGTGTGGCTGTGCTGGGTTTTGGTTGCTGCTTGGGCTTT